TTTGAGAAAGTCCCAAACAAAACTACTAGATTAAAATTTTGAACTCACTATTTAGTAATGTATTGGACATAGCAGAAGAGAGAACTAGTGAACTGAAAGATAGAGTTAGAGCAGTCTGACTTTAGAACAATAACGATAATTTTTTTTTAAATCACAGAAGTTTAAAAAATTGTTTTAAAGAAAAAAGTCACAGAAATTTTTTTAAAAGGAAAGAAAGAACCCTTGTTTAACCAGTGTGTATTGCCACCAACACAGGGATCTTGTTGACTTAAAAAAAAAATCCCCATAGTTTTATATATATATTTTATTACAGACTAATATAAAGTATTTGTGCATACTTTCTTAATTTTCTGAGTAGCCTAACAGAACAGAAATTCCTATATCAAAAGAGATAAAGGGGTGCTTTTTTGCAAGTAAACCCCTAGGTTATTGTGTTGCAAAGACAATTCTGGAATGAGTTAAGTAAATATGGGTCATGAGTAAATGCCAAGTCACAGAAGGTAGCTGGACGACATGGGATATGCGTGCCGGCTTGGAGCCACTGCCCTTTAAAATCCTCTAGAAACTCTGCTTTTTATCTCATCACTATTCCTTACTGTTATTAGTAAGAACAGATCAGGGGGGTTTTTTGCCCCTACACTTAAACTTCAGTACAGAGACACTTCCAAAGAGCGTTGTGTTTTTCTTGTACTTAGCTTTTCACAGTGGTAACAGCTGTCATGTCAGAAAGTAACCCAGCTTTGTCTTTTTAACTCCGAAGTGTCCATCACAGATCTTCTCTCAGTAGTGTGCTACATGGCGGTTAGGTTTGTATTCCTTTAAAGGGGAGATGACAGACAGAGCAGGCTATGTTGGCTTCAAGTGTGAGAACAGTTTTGAATTTTCCAATCTCAGGCCATCAATTCCTGGCTTCGTAATCCAGAATGTGTTGGGGCTTATCTTATTGTGTCAGTTTCAGGGGCCTCAGAACGTTGCCCAGTCCCCACCCACGCTATGAATTCTCTGGGATAGACCCGAAGAGCTGATTATGCTGAGCATTCACTCTTTAAGTGCTGCATCACAACCATAATCTTGTTTTGTTAGCTTATTGTAAGAATAATGTCTTCAATGAGAGGTTGTCAGAATCTTGTCCTTAAGGAGAAGATTCTTATTTACCACCTGTTATGTGTGACCATTATCACTTTTTTTTAAATTTTTTTCTAATCCTTGCCCAGTGATATATTTTTATTGATTTAAGAGAAAGAGAGAGAGAAACATCAATGTAATAGACAGACATTGATTGGTTGCCTCCCACAGCACCGGGATCAGGGATTGAACCCACAACATGGGTAGAGGAAGTGTGCCCTGACTGAGAATCAAATCCACGACCTTTTGATGTATGGGACAAAGTTCCACCCAACTGAGCCACACCAGCCAGGTCCTATATTTTATTTTTAAATTTTCTAAGCTTTATTTTCAGCTAACAGTTTGCATTTGTTTGGTAGTTCAGTGGGTAAATGTGTGAATGTATTTAATATTATTGTTGGTTCTGCCAAAACATTTTGTATGTGAGTTCCACTTTTATTTGTCTGTGCTCTACATGACAGATTAATTATAGATTACTAAGGCCTGGTGCATGAAATTCATGCATAGAGTGGTGTGTCCCTCAACCCAGCCTGTTCTCTCTCCCATCTGGGACCCTTCAAGGAATGCCCGACTGCCTATTTAGGCCCAATCCTATCGGGTAGTTGGACATCCCTCTCATAATCCAGAACTGCTGGCTCCCAACTGCTTACCTGCCTGCCTTCCTGATTGCCTCTAACTGCTTCTGCCTGCCAGCCTAATCACCCCCTAACCTAATCACCCCCTGCCAGCCTCATTGATGCCTAATTGCTCCCCTATTGGCCTGATTGCCCCTAATGCTTTGCCCTGTAGGCCTAGTCACCCCTAACTGCCCTCTCCTGCAGGTTTGATTGCCCCCAACTGCCCTCCTTTGCAGGCCTGGTCCCTCCCAACTGTCCTCCCCTGCTGGCCATCTTGTGGTGGCCATCTTATGTCCAAATGGGTGCAGCCATCTTTGACCACATGGGGGCGGCCATCTTGTGTTGGAGTGACAATCAATTTGCATATTACTATTTTATTAGATAGGATTGTGTAGTATTGTATAGTGATAACTGTCAGCTAGTAGAATGAAGAAAGGAAAGGAAGAAGAGACAGGAAGGAAGGCAACATTTGGTTATTCTTTATCAATTCTAGAGGATTTTAGGACTTTTATATTTTGCTGTGAATTCTTGATGAACATGAATGGCAATAGGTAAGGAAGTGACATTACCCTGTTTCCCCGAAAATAAGACAGTGTCTTATATTAATTTTTGCTCCCAAAGATGCGCTAGATCTTATTTTCAGGGGATGTCTTATTTTTGGGGAAACACGGTAGTAGAACTTTTCAGGGAACATGATAATTAGTTTATGCTTAAGAACAAGTGTGCAGTAAGCATGTATTGCATGCCTTCAGTCAGCACACATTGATTGCACACCCAGGTATATGCCAGGCATTACATTAGGATGAGATGAATAATGCACTCTCTTTGCCTCTTAAGAAAAACAGACTAGCAAATGGATGATTATAACACAGTGCAACAAATTAATATTAAGGTTATGAACAACTTCTTAATGATGTACAGCGGTAGGAATTTGTAATTCTCCCTGAAGGGTAGAGGAAGTGTTTGCCAAAAACGATGGCCCTTGAATTGGGCCCATATGAGAAACATTCAGTAAGCAAAGAAGAGGAAGGTAGGTCATTGCCTCTTGCAGGAACATGAAAATATTTAGTGACTGAGCTGAGTGTATCAAAGAATCACCCAGAGAAATTATTTTTTAAAATGAAGATCCCCAGAGCCACCCCAGAGATTCAGATTCAGGAGGTTCATTTGTAATAAGCACCTCGGGCAGTTCTATGATGGCTAGTCTGAAGACTGCATTTTGAGAAATGGCTGACTAGATCCAGACTAGTGTGTGGCTCTTCTGACTCCTGCTTCTGGGGGCAGTTTGACACACTGAAAAGAACATTGCTGGGTGTGAATTCTGGTCGTGTCCTGAACAATACACTTAATGCTAATCCATAGCTCTAGGCTTCGGCAAGTCACTCAGTCTTACTTAGCCTGTTTTTACATCTACAAAATAAAGGCAATACATTTAACTTCGCAAGACTACTATGCAGTATAGAGTGTGCAAAGTATCTAGCTCAGTGTCTGGCTCATACTAGGTGGTCACTAAATGATAGCTATTACTATCCTTATATAGTAGCTGCAAACTAAACTACTCTGTGCCCCACTCTCTCAGTTGCTAAAAAGGGATGATGATATTACCAATCTAATATGGATACTTACATATCTGAAATAAGACATGCATGAAAAGCACTTAAAACAATGCCTGGCACATAGAGATTATTTAATAAATTCACAATGGTATTGTTGATATTGATGATGATTATGAAGATGAATATGGTGGTATTACTCCTGTAACTAGCTGGCCAGTTCCATATGAATACATCCTAGTGCCTATTGAAATAGCAAGACTTGGATAATGGGCCCATTCATGTGTGAACAAGAAACTTGAGAAATAATGGTGTGGGGGTTAGAACATGAAAGAAAAAGTATTAAGGCGGTGGAATGACCATGTCTATTAGCAGCTGGGATAAATGGTCACATGATACTTGGCCCTTGGGAAGAATTATTCTTGGTAGGAAGGGGTTTTACAAATTAAAGAAATAAATAAAGGAGGGGAAATAAGACAATCCATCTTGTACCTCAGAGCAGGGCTTTCTGTAATTTTATGGAAAGTGGTCCCGGGAGAACGCAGTCAGTGCCTTGAGGTAGCCTGGTAGGTGGATGTGGGAAGGCAGTTACAAAGTTCTGGGTCCCTGCTAAGACAACTTACCTGAGAGCATGAGGCCCACAACGTCCACACCTGGGTGTATCTCCTGCCGGTGAGTGGTGGATGCCCACTTCCTCCGTCTCCATGGACCAGGCTGACCCTGGCTCCACTTACTCTTAAGGACTTGTATGGGCTCTCCTGAAGGATGATGACTGTGGTGACTGCCAGAAACTCCAGGGATGGTACAAAGAATGTAATTCCTGGGAGCCAAGAGATGTGGGTTTTGGTCCCAGCCCTGCCCTGCTTCGTTCTGGAACCTTATTAAGCAACCATTCTACCTCTGTGAGACATTCTTTGTTCCTGTGTCCATTCAAAAGATCTCTATGAAGTATCCTCCTGCATGACAAACCCTGGAGGCACAGAGAGACCAGTCAGGCAGCACCCACTTCAGTATGAAATCCTCCTATTGAGGTAGAGACTGTACACGTACTGACTTTTTAGACCACATATGTCGGAGGACCTCCAGTCCCAAATGGACCTTTCAGATAGTTCATTCATTTCAACAGAAACCCTGATACATAGAATAAAATGTCGAACAGGTGAATCTGGACAAAGGGAATGTGGATGATCTTTATCCTTGTCGTAATCTTTCAGCTTTCCTAAAGTTTGAAAGTTTTTCCAAATAAAAAGATTTTAAAAATTAATATGAAATAATTTCTAGTGACCCAGGCCTATCTCTCAAAGCAAATAAATGATAGCATATAATGCATAGTTTGTCACTCCACAACTAAGACCACTAGCTCTGAAGGGGGTGGGCTTGGGTTCAAGTCTCAGTTCACTTGCCAGCTTAGGATTTTACCTAAATTATTTCACTCATCTGGATCTGCACTCTCTTTATCTGTAAAATAAAGTTTTCCTCATAGGGACTTTGTGAGGACTGGGTGAGAATGTAATTATTTATCACCTATATAATTTCTAGATATCATCTACATAATACACATATGCATATCAAATTGCTTTGTTGTTCATAAAGTGCTGTGCAAAGGTAGCAGGCTCTCTGCCTCAGCTGAGCTCGTGGTAGTATATGTGATCTCTGGAGTAAGTAACTTACATTAACTCACAAGTTCCCTTCTCTTTTCTTACAGCCTGAAAGAATTTCCGGAGAGCAGTATGGAATCCATTCTGATGTCTGGAGCTTAGGAATCTCTTTCATGGAGGTATGATGTTTTTTATAAATAGGTGTTTCCATGTATATTCGTAGCAATATTTTCTATCAGGAAGAATGAAAATTTTGGGGGGTGGAAATTAAATCTCCTGTGTGTTATGTATACACAGTGTTTAAAGTTATATTTTATATCCTTGCATGGCTTGTGAACCAGATATTTCTCACAGATCACCTTGTAAAAGTTAACCTAGAGTGCTTCTTAAAAATGCAACTTCCAGACTCCATCCAAGACCAGTCCATATCGCTACAAATCTGCATTGTAAACATGTTCCTTGTGTGATCCCTATGTATACAAATCCAGAGACCCTGTGTTCTAAAAGGCAGTTCAGAAAAATTTTAATTGGAATGCATATATCACTTCCAAAGGTGATTACTTTAAAGAGTGCAGCCCTACTCATTTGGATGTATAAGTTCTATATGTTTGTTTAGAAAATAAAAGCTACCTTGTTCCAATCTAGTCAGATCACATGTGGGGCACAGAGTGTGATATCATTTGGGGGGAGGGTAAGGGATATGTATTTAACACAATCGAATGCTTCTATTCTTTATAGATATATTTAGAATGGACTTTATCTTACTGGACTTTGTGAAGCCCCACTAGAACTCTGTGCTAAGATTTCCATATCATGACCCTTGATCTACAAGGAAATGCATATGATTTATATTAGAACATCTGGGTCTGAGTTATAGTGTTATAGACCCTGGATACTCATAAGTCCTTCAAAAATTGTTTCTCACTTACTTTGATTTAGATAAAAGAGGACTTTTTAAAAACTATAAAGGACTCCTTAAATAAGATCATGGATAGAGTTGCATTTATGCTTTTGTTACCTTTTTTGGTCAAGTGCTTTTTCTATGATTTTTGCAAAGTATGAATGCAGCTGGATTTGTAAGGAAATATCTTCAGACTCAATTCACCTGCACTGAGGAAAGAAAGCAAAAATAAAGTATTTGGTGTTTATTAAACCATATTCTTTGCTTCTTCATAAAAAGAGCCTCCAAGAGGAAATGCAATATGTGTGCATCAGCTTATTGGTTAGCCATAATGGTGGACAGACACTCAAAACTGAGTTTCCCAATAGAATCCTGAAGGGATTATTCAGTTAGCCTGTGTCAGGGGAAAATAGTGCCTTGCTGCTGCATAATTTCCCTTTAAATTGTCATTGAATGTACTCAGTAAATGATCGGATAAACTGTAGAACATTCGTGAAGTTGTGAGGTGTAGAGATAAGAACCCTATGTTGGGTATAAAAGACCTAGACTGCAGTTCCAACTTGGCTTTCTAGGTGGCCCTTTTCAAGCCCCACTTTGGGTTTCAGCTTACTCATCTGAAAAGTAATGACCTCTAAGCCCCTTTCCAGACTAACAATCCATGACTCTAAGCAGTCTGCTATTGTCCTTCTTTAACTTCCTATGACAACTTTAGATTGTGTGACTTAGACAGTGGTATATCCTAGCTTGGCATAATTTGAGGAGGCGTAGCAATACTGTGAGAGAGCATAACTAACAGATTTAAGATCTTGAACCCATATAAATATTCACTATCCATTCCTTCCACATTGATTTTTTTATTCATATATCAAGGTCTTGCTATACCTGCTGGTAAGCAAAGGGGATATAGCAGAGAAAGGAGACTCCAGTCTCCACTCTTATGGAGTTGCATTGGGCGGGGGGGGGGGGGGGGGGGGGGGTGCGGGGGGGAAGGGTTTGAGGAGAAATAAAAGAGAATGATAACTAAATATATAATTTGTCAGGTGACGATAAGTCCTGTGTTTTATACCAAATTCATTTGGGGTACAAGATCATGAAAAATATGTGATAGGGAAGGAGAGTAGGAGGTTTTGAGTTCATAAACGAATAATTGTAGGCAATTCAATAATGCAGAAAACTTCAGGATTCTTTAGGCAGATGAGATGAGAACATGACCTGAAGAGTCTGGGAAGTTAATCCAAAAGAAGCACTTGAAGGTCAAGGTTCTTTTTTCACAGCAGTGTGCTTGGAGTAAACACGATAGATCTTGTTTAAAATCACTATAGATAAAGAGAAGTGTGAATCTCAGTAGCATTTTAAAACTCTGAGTGATTGTGTTCTGAAATCGTTGACCTCTTCTAAGAATTGCTTCTCTCCTGTTTATCTCACTTTCTATGTTTACACTCTGCAGAATAGAAAAGTTTCACTTAATAATTATTATTTTAGCACTGGTCATGTGCTAGGCCTGGAGAGTGAGACTTACAAAGCTGACAAAAGCCTGCCTCTGCTGGGGAAGACAACCACCTGACTCCCAGAACAGTGAATGACCGGAAAGGTCTTCAGGAAAACGTTTATAAAGACTCTGAGTCACAAAGGATGGTGGTGAAGTGGTTCTCAAGGAGTTGACAGCAGAGCTGGGTTGGTCTTGGAGGGAGATTGCCTCTGGGAGCAAGAAGGAAAAGGTGGAGGGGCTCTGCCCAACCCCAGCACACTCTAAGGTGGACCTCTGTAAACAAAAGCTCCCTTGTCAAAATAGGCAGGTCTCAGCTAGGCTATGCCACTACTTCCGTGTGGGTACCTTCCTCCAGCTGCTTCCAGTCAGTCGGTTTATTCCTCCAGGGTGTGAGGGGTAAAGAAACAAATGGGGTAAAAACTATGGGAAGCTGAGCAAAGGAATATTCCTGAAATTACACAAGATTCAGATAGATACAAAATGGGAACTAGAATTTTCTACCTCCACCTAGCACCCCCACCAACACCAACACCCACAATTCCATAAGTCCGTGACCCCTCCCTGAGGTTTGGTGATGCAGGAATCAGAAGGTTGCCTTCCTTGTTTTAAACTCCTAACATAACGAGCTTCACCCCTGCTTGCCAGCTTCATACTCATACTTCATACAACTTCCCTTGTTAATGTGCTGCCACTGTCCCCGTGGGGAGTCATAACAAGGCCTCTCACCACACTCTTTCATAAAAGATGCTACTTGCCGCTAAAATGTGCCATATAAAAAGCCACCGACAGGTACATTTGTGCCTTAAGCAAAGAATCTTTAATATCATGCTATCTTTTATCTAGGAACAGGACTGCCCCCGTCTCCGCAGCTCAGCATCCCTCTGTTTCTGAGATAAAGTGGGTCTTCTCCAGAATTGTGTCAGCTGAATGCAATGTTTGGAGTTGGCAGAAGTAATATAAAAATGGAAATTACCCTTAAGAAGGGAAAAATGAGATCATTCAGCTTGACTAGAGCATGGCAGTTCTACTAGATGTGAAGAATTTGGCCCCCTCCTGTATTTTTGGCTTATGGTTTCCAACTCAGATCTTTAAATGTGTTGTAGTTCTCCTTGTGTGGATTAGTTATGGAGCCAAATAAAGGTCATTGCCAATCCTAGCCACTTTGCTTAGTGGGTAGAGCGTCACCCACTTGGACTGAAGGATTGCAGGTTTGATTCTGGTCAAGGACACATACCTCAGTTGCAGGCTCGATCCCCGGCCTCAGGAGGCAACTAATCGATGTGTCTCTCTCTCACATTGATGTTTCTCTCTCTCTTTCTGTCTCTCCCCTTTCCTTCCACTCTCTCATGGGAAAATATCCTCGGGTAAAGACTAACAAAAAAGTAAGAGAAAGTAAAGGTCATTGCCATATATGGGGTTTGGTGGGCTCACTTGGCAATGGGGAAAAGAACCCAGGTGGACTTGCACCTTTTCCTTGAATCTTTCTGCCTGGAATTCGTGTGGCAATGCAAAAGAAAGAAGAAAAGAAAAGAGAAGCAAGACCCACTAGCAAGTGTACAAGATTCCTGAACTAGGACAGACTGGGAAGATTAATCCTACCCCCAAAATATCTGTTTGGCTCTTCTAGAAAGCTCTCAGCGATTCAGTTGACTGGGTCTGTTCACCCTTGCTGGTTGCTACTCAATACTTCAGAGCTAAACTTTAAAATGAAAAAGAGTTAATTATATAATAAGGACTTTGTTTTACCAAGATTGATGATTTTATTTAATCCTTAAGGGTAGGGAGTACCTAAAACATTTTAGGGCACATTTTTTTAAATTTTACAGGCAGCTCAGTGCTTCTGTTATTTCCCCACATAGAGGCTTGAGGACAGAGTCCCGCTGTTGTTGTTCACTAATTACTCCATGTATATTGTTGTATCATTTGAGTTGTAGCCATATTTGCAAAACTGTATTTTTATTTGCCCCTTCATGGGTAAAAAAATAAGTAAACATATACCCTTTTCTAGCTTTGTATCTGCAGCACCCAGGACGATGCATATACATTTAGAAAGGCACCAGGCCAGTCCCATAGTGTTCTTACTCTCACTGGGTATGCCCTGCAAGTCCATGTTCTGGTTTGTGATTCTATCTGATGGGTTATTATAAACCCTGTTAAGATGGAATAATCTTTTGACAGGCTTTTCCACAGGAGTCACACTGAGAGCCGTCTCTAGCACATGCATTTTGCTCTTTTCACTTGGCCCCTTGCTCTTTCTGCCTTTGTTTGCCTCCTCTCTCTGCCAGTCTCTAGAGTCCAAGGCATAGAACAATCCAGCTCAATGTGCTTGGTTAATTGGAGTGTCATCTAGTCCTCTGAGACCCCTCTTCAGCATGATCACTGCTTCATTGGAATGGTATGAATGATGTGTTAAATGATGAAAGCAAGGTCCGTGGCTTAGAAAAATGTCTCTAGATAGGTGAATAACATGCTCAGAGAGCCACACAAGATCACTGTCATCAAAGTAACACCATCTTCTAAAGCTTTTTATGGGTTCTGTTGTTTTGACTCACAAGAGAGTTTTTCTTGTGAGTTTTAGAATTACCTTTACCAGGTTTTGGGTTTTGGTTTTTGTTTTTTTGTTTTTATATCTTATTGATTTTGTACAGAGAGGAAGGGAGAGAGATAGAAAGCTACAAACATCGATGAGAGAGAGTCATCCATCAGCTGCCTCTTGCACACCCCCCACTGGGGATATGCCCGCAACCAAGGTACATGCCCTTGACTGGAATCGAACCCAGGTCCCTTCA